ACTCGTAAATTTTATTCCAAGTAAAATTTGTGTGATGTGTGAATCAGCTGTTTTGGTTTCAATTTAAATTTTTGTATTGTTTATTTGGGTGGCACTGGTGTTCTTATCAGACTTTACGCAAAGCTGTTCCATGAAAACCTGTGTAAAGAGCGTAATTTGGCACTTTTTGTATTCCGCTCTCAGTTTGGACTTTACTTGTGTTTTACTTGGGTTTTACTACGAGAGTTGCTCGTGGAGCAGACCTATTATATTTCTTAAATCAAGGAGTCACTTTTCGAGACTTAACATAAGAGCGTATTGGTATGCGCTCTGTATATGGTTTTTTTTTGAGTATAGTTCTCTTAACTTCCCTGTACTAGGTAAATATTGAAAATATATACCTCTTTCCATACAATAATTGCGTTTCTTGAAGAATTATTTCCCAAAGTTAAAGAACATTAGTATATACACTCTATATATGGGATTCCTTCTTTTTTTTTAAATAGAGTAATCTTAACTTCCCTATATTTGGTAAATATTGAAAATGTATATCCCTTCCTATATGATTTTTACGTTTTTTGAATCAAGAAATTACTTTCTGGGCTTAAAGAACGTTGGTAAAAAAAATCTGTATATGAAAAAATTTCTAAAGGTATTTCAAAAATGAATAAATTGTAATAAAATAAAGTAATTGCTTATGTTTCATCTATTATATATCACAATTAATATTTTGTTTATTATTTATTTGAATAATATTTGTTTAAAGTCTACTCTAAAAACATGAATAAATTTTGACAGTTGGCTGGAAATTTCCATTTATTTTTAAGCAGTGTTTACATTACACATATAATCAATGTTGTTATTTAATTTTTTCTATGACTAATTATAAAATTGTTAAAAAATGAAAGTTAATTATATGCTGTCTTGTAACCGAACCCCCTTTCTGCATTTTTAAAATAGTTTTTGTAGTGATATATCTTTATTATCATTCACAATTCAAAAATAAAAACAGATTACTTAAAAACAATTTTTTAAATTAACTAAATATAAATACGTTGATATTAAGAGTGGAAGTATCTTTCCATTTAAACACTAACCTACCTCATTAAATTGGAGAGAACTAACATAACGCAATTGCCTTTTAATAAAGATAATGCGTGCACAATTCTTTCTGACTTAAATTTTGATTTTGCACATATCTAGGTTTAAATGGTATGATTATTAAACACAAATGTATATTATAAGATACACTATAAAAAAATTTAAGATAAGATATTTTGGCCTAAACATACATTACAAATTTCGTCTGCATCTATTTTAAAAAATATATGAGTAATCGTTTAACTTGACAATAGAAACCTTCGCAGCAGTTTTGTTATCAGTAGAAAAAGAAAATATTTAAAAAAAGAAAAAATATTTGTAATTAATAAATAAAATTAAAAAAAAATTAAAATTTTTAAATCAAAATAATACGTTGCAGTTTTATTTCCTACTGGGTATGTGAAACCAATTTTAAAATTTAGAACCCAAATTGCATCATCATTTTCAGTATCCTTACTCCACTTTGCTTGCCTTTCAGTGATTCAGTGATATATGCGGGCTACAGAACAAAATAAGAATATAAAAGCAAAACAAATGAATAAAGCGGTTGAAATGTGCAAAGTCAGAAAAAAAGCGCGCCAAAAGAATGCTTTAACAGATTGTGTTTGTTTGTTATTGTTTATTTTCCCTACCGGTTGAGCAAATGCACACACATTCACATTTCTCTTTTACTCTCTTTTATGAGAACTAATGGCAAAGCTATACGCAAACTCTTTACAATGGCAAGTGAAAAATCAACACATCAGCTTTTGGAATTAGAATACGAGACACACATTCTACGGGGCGGAAACGAAGGTAAACGTGCCTAATAAGCAAATCCTCAGCTGTTTTCTGTTTTTATTTTTATTTTTATTTCTATTAAGAAAAGTTAAACAATTAATATGAAAGCTAATACCACAACAGAAATATTATATATTGTACTGTACTTTAAAACATGATTATGCATGCCAAAGTTGTGCAAGTGCATTTGAAATAACTTTTTTTTTTTATCAATTTCAAATATTTGTTGTATTTTTTGTCATTGAGGAGAAAGTTTTTTATTTAGTTTATAATTAATTTGTTAGAAAACTCAATTCATTTTCATTTTTTAAAATCAAAGTTATTCATTTAATTTGCTTCACATGATGAAATTCTTGAAAGAAGTTCTTCCAAAATACTGAGAACAGATACTGGCGTGCCATGGTGCATTTGAAATAATAATATCTATTGAAATGAACGAATTACTCTTATTAAATCTGAAATTAATAGCATTTCAAAGATATAAAATAGAAGACTGACAGAACATGTCAACTTCTTACCTAGAAATCTTACAGTTACAGCGTTTTCAATATATAAATCTAAGGTAATTTTTTCAATCGAGATATGTTGCTCTTTTAATGCACTTTTGACGAAATGTATAACAGTCGTGATTTATTTAAGACAGTCTAGATATTTTACCAAAGAAGCAAGATTACCCTGAAATTAACAGCTGTTATATATGATTTGATAAATGAACTGTGATTTGATTCGCTATATGTATTTGTCAAAAATATAAATATCTAGTAACACGAATAAAAAAATATTAGATTACTCTAAAAATGTTCGATTGAGTAACAAAATTTGACAGATCGAGAGTAAATCTAGATTGAATTCAGATAAACCAATAGAAAGCGCCATTATTTTTAAGTATTTTTCGTTTTAGAAGAGCTTCAGTCAATCCAGTCATAAAATTATAAAACCAAAAGAAGCAGTATTACAATTCACATAATTCAGAATAATTCATCTATCATTTCTCCTTATGTAGTTCAAGTAATTTAAATGATGCTCATAATTTAAGTTGTTTACATTTTGGCAGTGTGTGAGTTTGAGTAAATTGAGGTAAAGTAAATTAAAATTCCTAGGGATTTTTTGCATTACACTTATGTAAATTTATTTATTTATTTAATATCCAATTTACTCTACTCGAAATTCTGATAAATACCAACATTCGACGCCATACTGACATAATTTACTATTCCCCTCAATTTACCATCAATTTACTCGAACTCGCACACGGCCTTTATATTATTTTATAGTGTAGTTGATATACAAATTATTTCATGTTTAGTATTTAAGTTTAAACAAATTATTTTTAGTAAGTAACAATCGACGAGGATGACAAGGACATGCATTACTTTTGAAAATTAAAATTTGTGGATAAAGTTTTACTTGAGACACGCTAAACAAAAATCAAAATTTAAAAATTTATGTACATAATTATATACATAATTTATATATATAATTTATATAAATTTATATACAATATATACACTGTCCTTAATTCATTTGTTTAATAGGTGCTTTATTCAAATTTGAACCGATCGTTGCCGAATGGACAAGGATAAGGATGGATAAAGACATAGTACGCTCCTTTCTCTCATAAGAATAAACGATAACCAGAATAAAAAAAGGGATAATATACCAGGATTAACACAATCCAAATCACTTATTGGTACCTATAACAATCAGACATACCAGGATTAACACAATCCAAATCACTTATTGGTACCTATAACAATCAGAGATACCAGGATTGTATGAACCTATCAAAAGAAAAACTTAAACTTAAACTAAAACAACACCTTAAAGGACTGGATATACTTACAGATGATTACAGATATACTTACGGAAGAGGCAATAAAATTCTGTACAGTAGGTTATATTCTAAACGCAGAAGGGGGCACAATAGACCCGACGGTCCCAGTGCCCCTCCCCCTAACAATAATAATAATACATTAAATAAGAATCATGACATGATAACGTCATGTTCATTAATCAGATTATTGTTTGTTGATACACAGTTACTATGTTATATGTATTATATATAATAATAAACTCTGAACTGGGTAGATTTTGTTTTGAAACCATATATCGTCGTAAAAATAAATAATAATCCTGAATAATAATGCTTTAAGGAATCGTTAAGTACTTTGTTAGAAAAAAGCCAAAAACCCTGTATATATAGGTTCTTATAGAATGATTTTTATAAATATACTATAATCTTTTTACACTTTATATACAAATATAGAAAAGGAAATGATTGACTAACTTGGAATATTCCGACCAATGTTTAAAAACCAGTCCCTTAAATACAATTTGTATAATAAATGAAATCATTTATCGACATAGATTGATGAATGGATAAGGCTACATTGATTTATACTATCAACCTGACCAAGATAACACAGTACATGTTATCCAATATCACATTCCCACGTAAATAAATATCTTGATTGATAAAGGTATACCTTTCGAATGGTAATAATATAACAATTAACTGATTTATTTTATACACCCACCCCCTATTTTATAAACGTTCTCCGTTGCCAGCTGGTTTTTAATAGAAAAGTTTATTTAATAATATTTAAAAAAAACAATAATAAAATTAAAAACTTTCAATTCTATATTTTTATTTATTTTTAGTATTTAAAAAACAAAACATACTTATAAGAAAAAATGAAAGTATGTAATTTAATTTAAAATAAAAAAATAAAAATAACAAACAAGCGGTGAAGGTTCTGTTAGGCCACATAATCAACAAAAAAAGCTATCTAAATGTTCGAAATATAATGCAAATAAATATGTAAAAAAAAGAAGAAGAGAAACAGGTTGGTATGACTCAACACATAACGCAAATTGAGCATTTTGTTGTTGATAATCATTATAAGAACAATAATAAAAGAAGAAACAAAACAACTGTAAATAATTAATAGACAGCACTGAAAACGGTTTGATTAACACACAATTAAAGAATAAATATATAAACAAAAAATAAATTTACACAATTGTAAAGCAAGCAGGAAAGTGAAAAATAACCTTAAAACCAATTGGATAGAAACTGCGAGAACATTGCATATACAACGAAAAAAAAATAAACTAAAATACACGTTCTTGTAACTTACCTACGTCCAATCGTGCGTTCATTGCTATCAACACAATACGGTATAGCTGGCCTATTGTGTTCCTCTAAGTGTGGCACATTCTGTGCATTATGCACATTATCGGTTGGAGTGGCAGAGCCGAGTGCTGCTGCCACAATAGAAGTTAGCATGGTGAGATGTAATAATGATGGTTGACAATTTCGTCCAGCATTCAAATTATTATGAATGCCCATATCTAGACTTTTTCTATTAACACACTGCTATTGCCTAGGGGGGTTCGGGTTGTGTAATTAGCAAATGCTAAAGTGGACACAAACATGGAGAAAAGAGCACCCACTATTTGTAGTGCGTGCCGTTTCTGCATAACTTTTGCACTTATCAGTTTAGCACTTGAATTTAAAAAAAAAATTTCACACTGCTGGTAATTATTTTTTTCTTATAATTTTATATTTAATAATATTATATGATATAAAAAATAAGTTTAAGTAATATGTAGACGCAATGCCACTTCCGTCGCGCACTAGCGAGTTTCACAACTAATATACAACTGTCAGCTGTCAGCGATGAAGGCATCCCTGATTTTAAAATGTCTTTCTTAAAACTGTGGAACATTCGAGAAATGGAATGAAACATCATACAGATATTTTCTAATATAGCAATATTTGAATTTTAACAAAGAATTAAGTCATGGAATAAATTGACAGTAAAATTTAATATATTTCAATAAATAAAGATTACCAACCATTCGCTCGTTTTCTTTTTAATTATTGTACATCAAATTTTAAGCTAAATATAATTCAATAAATTTCAGTGTAAGCGACTTTATGAATAATAAAAGTTTTGTTACAAAGAAAATACAAAGTAACTTTATTATTGAATTCACATTTTTAGCTTTTGAAATCCGATTTAACCGATGCACACATTTATTTTCTAAATTTCTAAAAAGTTTTTTATCCAAATGGTAAATTTAAATATTAACCAAGATGCTGGATATCTCGAAAATGATTTATTGAAATAAGTTCAATATTATACACAATGTTAAAGTACATTCACACTGTCTCATTTAGATACTTGCTCATTTATATTTGTACGATTTTTGTTCTAAGAAAAATTTATATTACGCGCACGGGCGTTTTTATTGTAGCACACAGACTAGTTACAACAATCGAAAAAATTAAGAAAAACAAAGATTTAAAATTAGGGCATTGATCAATCAAATCATTCATATACATTTTATTTATCAATTACTTATTTAATTAATAAAAGCAAAGATTTTATTAAATATTTGTTTCCGCAGTACCTTTGTTCACAACTCAATTGTTGTTTGTTAACATTTTACATATAAAATATATGGTACATATTTGAAATTTTAACAATTTCCCTTGTAGTACATTTATTTTTAAAGATTGAATTCAACATTTTTCACGTTAAATGAGCTGATTTATTGATAATGACATCGTTTATATGCAACCATACAAATAAATGAGGTAAATCATCCTCATTTCGCGGCATTAATGAGCAAAACCACCTAAATGAGACAGTGTGAATATGCTATTAATTTATTAAATCATCTTAATTTGATGCCTAATGTTTTTGTAATTAATTGTTTACGATTCTATCGATGCGCACAGTAATTCAGAATTACATTCTTAATTTCAGACCATGGGCTCTATTGGGTGCAGATTTAGTTATAAAACACTATAAAAACATCAATTACACAATTTTAATTTGTTAAAGAAACAAATACAAAGAATTGGCTTTGCATTGCCTCAGACTGTTTAGTCTAATATTCTAACAATTTTTTAACATCAATTTTTAATCCAAATCTAAATAAATAATTATATACATTGCATTACAAGCTATATAAAATAAATCTAAAATACAAAATAAAACTAAAAAACAAAATAAAACTAAAACACAAAATAAAACTAAAATACAAAATAAAACTAAAATAAAACAAAATAACTAAAATGGTGCTAAAAGAGAGAGTTGTTTCCCCTAAGCACATAACCAGTCTTTGACTCTATGTAATCACATCCTTATTTTAAAAATGAATTAGAACATTCTGTCCTCTAGGAACAGAATAGTATTGAAATTTAACAATTGAAAATAAAAATATAATTAATTAATTAATTCACACAGCAAGTAAAATTGTTAATAAAAACTTTCATAGTAATAGTAACAAAACTCCAGAAAAATATGCGAACAAAAAAGTCAAGTACGGCTTTGGATCATTTGGTTAAGGTGCGCTGATTCTGAGCTTCACATTTGGCAGAACCCGAGTTCGATTCCTGGTACTTGCAGTCTCAAAAATAATTATTTACGAATAATTAAATATAAGAATTATTTCTAAGACCACTGATGATGGGTATTTGGCAATACTCGAAACAGCTGTATGGCCAGCCAAAAATTCAATTAATTAAAATAGTATAAAAAAAAAAAATAAAAATTTTTGTTGTTGTATTTCACTACTGTTCGAAAAAACTCCTTTAAAAAATTAATTAAAAAAACAATAAATTATACGAAATAATATATACAAAACAAAATTGCTTTTTAACGATATAAACAAACTAGCATTTTTGAATTAGTTTTGTTAAAAAACAAAACGTCCACAAGTTGAAATGTATAGTAAATTAGAAGTACACTAAAAACAAAGTAATTCTAATTTGTGCCCATCTATTGTATACACAAACCATTTAATATACCATCATCAATATAAATATTATAGCAAATATTTTTAAAACATATATTAATTTATTGACGTATAATTAAGTTTTTAAATTTATGTGTGTTTATAATCACAATTTATAATATATAATTTTTTTTATAATCAAATATTTAGTTCTCAACTTTAATGTGATAGATAATGAATGATTTATGAGTTCACTTAGCGACAACGCTGTTAGAATGTCAAATACAGGGTTGAAGTAAAACTTTTTATAACCGTGCATTTAAATTTACTATGGAAATTAGCTCAATTTTAATTTTGTCGACTCTTTGCATCCTCAATGCAACTATTTAATTTAGCACTAAATTGTTTTGCTATTTCTTCCTTTTTAAATCGCACAGCCAATTGTTCAAGTTCTCCGCTGCTATTTTCCGCATAGTTTAACCCACCCCAGACATAACTTTTAACATTATTATTCATAAGCTTTAATACAAAATCAGCTCCAACCGCTTGATTAAGCACGAGTTTGTGTACTTGTTCCCGTCTCATAACCATGCGATAAGTATTTTTCTCTCGATGCTTTAATATTTTTATTTCACCCACTCCTACAAATTTAATTAACGATAACAATTAAAAATATTTAAAAAATTATAATTTAAGAATAAAGTACCTCGCTCCTTCCACTGTTTAGTTGTATTATCATAGCGGAAAAGTACAGCTCGGTCGCCAAATAACTTGTCCTCATTTTCTTCACCAGTCGATACAACAATTTCATCGGGTAACTCAATTATGGGCTCATAATGTGGATCATAATTTTCATCGTTCACATTATCACCATCATCACCAGCATTACTCGCTGATACGTTTGTATTCGAATCATTTGATTTAGAATTATTTAGTGAAGTGTTTGAATTTTTATTCTGAAAACTGGAGAAAGCATTTTGATTAGTTAGACCGAAGAAGCCACCAGGTGAAGATTTTTGATTTTCGTTTGCAAATGTGGAACTATTTTTTGCAGTTGCAGCAAGGCTTGCAAAATCAATATCACCGCCTTTTATAATAAGATCTGTATCTGCAGACTCTGTCGATGTTTTACTTGAATTATAATTATTTTTATTCTCCAAATTTCCGAATATTGATTCTTTTGCATTAGCAGTAGCGGTGTTCGCATTTTGAGCTAAACTGCCAAAAGTAGGCGTTACTACATCAGTATTAAATCCCCCAAATAGCGATTTATTATTGGAATTATTTATATTAGCATTTTGTCCTACACTACCAAAAATAGGCGCAGCATCGGTATTAAATCCCCCAAATAGCGATTTAGTCTTGGTATTATTTGTGTTAGCATTTTGTGCTACACCACCAAAAGTAGGCATAGATTCAGTTTTGAATCCACCAAATAGTGGTCCAGAATTATCTGGTGGTTTTTCTTGTACTTCAAACAGTTTACTTCCTTCATCTTCGTCAGACTTGTTACTCGATTTATCCGTACTACTACTATTAAGACCAAAAATGTTTGTGCCTTCAAACTTTGAAACTGGTTGATTAAAACCACTCATACCACCACCACCGAATATTGTTTGATTCGAATTATCGCCTACCACTGGTTTGGCTGTACTATCAAATATCGATGTGCTGAAAAGATTGGTAGGCGGTTTGCTATCTGTTGTATTTGCTGTTAAGGTAAATATATTAGAACCACCAAAAATATTTGTACCACTCTTATTGTTTTCTGTCATTGTGTTTCCAAATAAACTAGATCCAGTATTATTTGAGCCACTGAAAATACTTGCGCCACTCTTGCTATTGTCTGTCGTCGTGCCTCCAAACAAACTAGATCCAGTACTGACCTTGTTTATATCTGTAGCCGTGCCTCCAAACAAACTAGATCCAGTACTGACCTTGTTTGTATCTGTAGCCGTGCCTCCAAACAAACTAGATCCAGTACTGACCTTGCTTGTATCTGTCGTTGTGCCTCCAAATAAGCTAGACCCAGTACTGACCTTGGTTGTATCTGTCGTTGTGCCTCCAAATAAGCTAGACCCAGTACTGACCTTGCTTGTATCTGGCGTCGTGCCTCCAAATAAGCTAGACCCAGTACTGATCTTGCTTGTATCTGACGTCGTGCCTCCAAATAAGCTAGACCCAGTACTGATCTTGCTTGCATCTGTCGGCGTGCTTCCAAATATATTAGCACCAGATAATAAAGGCGTAGGCGCAAATATGGAAGTATTTGTGTCTGTTTTAGTTGATGTGTTAGTACCAAAAATAGAGGGAGCTTGTTCAAATACGGTTGTATCTAATAAAATAAACAAATATGTTTAAAATATGTTTTAACAAAAAAAATTCTTTTTTACTTACTACTTGAAAATAGAGGACCCGTTTTAGCTTTAGTTTCTACGATGTTAGACATATTTTTGCTATTGTTTTCCTCCACTTTGGTTAGCTCTTTAAAAGCATTTGTAAAACTCAACGGCGTAGAATCATTATTTGAACCACCAAATATATTACTGCTATTATCGTCGGAAGTACTTTTTGTTGCATTTAAATTAGATTTTGCTATTAGTGGGCTCGCATTTGTTTTTGATTTAGCACTAGTAGCTTTTTCAGCACTTGCTATAGAAACATTTTTATCATTTGTTGTAGCAGGGACTTTATCACCTTTTGCTGTGACAGCAGCTTTATCGTTGACAGAAAAAGTGACATTTTTTTTATTTTTTCCAATTTTAAGTGTACGAACGTTTTGATATAAATCTTTTAATTTATTAACACAATTTTCATCTGAAGGATGTTCGAGTTCTGAAAGTATTTCATTAGACAAAATTGTTTTAATTTTTTGACAACCAGCACATTTTTTTTCTGTATTACATTCCAGTTTTGGCATATCTTCTTTTTGAGTTATTTTAGAACTTTGTTCTTCGATACTTGGTTGGCTTGTATTTGCAGTTTTTTCAGTTGATGAAACTAATTCGGAGCTCGGTAGAATTGGTTGAGCTGTGCCAAGTAAAGCTGATTTCACAGTTTCCATAAATTCCTCTGCCATTTCCTTTGTTTTAAAACGTAAAGCAAGTTTCTCTACTGAAACTTCGCCTTCACTAAAATCATTTGCAAAAAACAACCAGGATTTTTCATCTTTTAATTTATAATTAATATCCTCCGTTAAAGCATGATTTAAACATATTTTAAAAACACGTTCACGGCGCATGATAACACGCAACTTTTTATTTATTTTGTGACGTAGAATTTTAACATCACCAATTCCCCTTTCTTTCCATTCACTGTCAACAAAACGAAACAATTTAGCGCGATGTTCATACAGCACATCCTCTTCTTCTTCTCCAGTTACCACATCAACCTAAAAAATGCATATACCATTTTAGTAAACAATAAAGAACAATAAAATTAAATTGGTTTGTGTTTGTGTAACTGTAAATTTTTAAATAATTTAATGTGACTTACCTTATCTGGTAGAGGTATAACTGGTGCAAAATATGCATTATTTTCTTCCTCAGTATAATCGTCATCACCGTCATCATTAACATCTTGTTTTGTAGGGAGTAAATTTACAATTTTAGATTTATTGGCATTATCCGGATCTTTTTCTTCAACTAACAAATTTGATTTACTATCACTTATCTCTCCGCATGCTATAGGCATTTGGGGATTTTCCATGGAACTGGATTTTAGTGTAAATGAAAAGGTAGGTTTGCCTAAAGACGATGTGCCTGAATTGGTAGACGTACTATTTTGAGTTGTGAAATTAAATGATTTTACGTCACCAACTGTTGCGCCCATATCACTCGTTCCATTTGTGCCTGCTGTCGTCGCTAAATTTCCAAATGTAAACGGTGATCCGGTAGGTTTGGCTGTAGATGTATCATTTGTTGATACTCCAAAACCAAAAGTGAATTTTTGTGTTGGATTTGATAAAGCTAATATATTTGTAGTTGTTTCTTTTTTAGAAATAGTATTATCTTTTGGCTCTTCACATGCTGTACAATAATCGGAACCAGCTTGATTGCTTAAATAGCAACTTTGACAAGTCCAAGCACCTGCTTTGGGTTTAAATTGATCACCAAAACCAATTTTCGAAGAAGAGTTTAGTGAACTATTTGAATCATGTGTGACACCCGAATCAGACAAGTTAGCATTTAAAGATGTAACCGAAGCCGTAGATGCTTGCGATGCATTTAAAATGGAATTCCCACTGGATATGGATGTGTTATTGTTTTCATTGGAACCGGCTGCTGCAAAACCAAAACTAAATGTACCACTAGGTACGGTTGTCGCAAGCGGGTTTATTGTCTTTTTAGGCACAGTACTATCTTTAGGCGCTTCACATGCTATGCAGTAGATTGCATCACTGATGTTATTTGTATAACAACCCTCACAAGTCCACGAACCAGCTTTTGGCTTAAATGCGTCCCCGAAACCTTTGACTTCTTCTTTACCACTTGTTGTTTTGATATTTGCTTTATTTTCTTTATTCTTTTCATTTAACTCTTTGTTTTCAGTTTCATATTCTTCAGTATCATTATCATCGTCTTCAGCGACAGTTGTCATTTTAATTTGTGCTGCTAATACAGCATCCAAAAATGATTGGCAAATGTCTGGCGTCTTAAAACGTATCGTCAATAACTCTGTTGCTAATTCATTATCTGAATAATCTTGACCAGCCCAGTTCAGTGCACATTTTGAATTTTTAGCAAATTTGAACGAGGTATTCTTGTTAAGACGCTGATTACAACATAGCTTGTGTACTAGCTCTCTTCTCATAACTATGCGTACTTGATTCACATCATTTTTATTCTGCAAAAGCTTGATGTTGCCCAAACCTCGTTCTTTCCATTCACCAGTGTTCTTATCAAAACGCAGCAACTTCGCACGGTGTTCAAAGAGCACTAATTCGTTTTCTTCCCCTGTTGTTACTTCAATCAAATCTGGCAATGGAATGACGGGCTTAAAGTCAGCAGTGGGCACGTATTCATCTTCATTGTCTGATTGGCTTGTTCTATTTCTTGGTGTATCAGCTGTATTTATAGGGCTGTCTTTAGAACCACCAACTGAGGTATTTAAAGTTTGAGTTAGTGAAGTTCCAAATAAAGGTGAAGAAATTTGATCTGTTGTTGATTTGGCTATGTTATTGAAAAGATTTGCAAATGGTGATGGACTCGTTGTAGTAGATTTGCCAAAATTAAAAGTAGCAAAGGGCGATGAAGCTTGTGTTGTTACTGGTTCCTTAACAGTAGGTGCAACAAAAAGCGTTTTGGAAGTTGCACTGGTTACTGTAGTTGTTGTTTTGGGATTTGATACAGTATTGTTGTCTTTGGGCGCTGGCTTCACTTGTTCATTTTTATTGGCTGGTGTGCTAGTAGCAAAATTATTAGTATTTTTTTGCACTCCAAAAAGTGATGTCTGCACTGGAGATTGTGCAGTTTTATTATTTTTTATTACAGCGGTCACAGCAGGTGGTTGCATATTTTCCTTGCCTTTTTTCTGTTCTGAGTCATCCTTTTGTGCATTTTTAAAAGTGTCGTAAAATTGTTTGGCTATATCGGCTGTCTTAAAACGCACAAAGAACTTTTCTGGCTTTATTTCACCCTCAGAATAATCATTTGCATACCAAACGTAAGCTTTAGGTTCAGCACTCATGGCCTTAATAACCAGCTCACTTGTGATAATATGATTAGCACATAACTTATGTACTTGCTCGCGTCGCATTATAAGATGATATGTACCATCTTTATTATGTTTCAATATTTTCATATCACCAAGACCTCGTTCCTTCCATTCTTTTTCAACGTGACGAAATAGTTTAGCACGATTACAGAAAAGTACTTTCATGTCCTCCTCACCAGTTTTGACTTCTACTTCATCTGGTAAAGGTATAATAGGTTTAAAGTCTGGACGTGGATCATATTCCACTTCTGAGTCGGCATTAAAACTTTTGTTTAGATCACTTGATATGCTTACATTCGTTTTATCATTGTCAACCGACTTATTAGCTGCTTGAGCAGCAACCAGATCTTGTTTGAAACTAAAGGTTTCTGGATTAACTGTAGTAGTCGATGGCACAGTAGCTAAACCAGTTTTGTTACCAAAAAGTGATACACCAGCGGTCATGTTACCAAAAATGGGTTGACTTGTCGTTATGTTTGCCGAAAACATAGAATTGGTTGAACTGGTTGTCTGTGGGCCCATAATATCCGGTGTCTGTACTAAGCTGGGTTTAATATGATGTGAAGGTATTGTCACACTTAAAGTTGGTTGCTGTGTCTGCACTGAAGAACTATTGGGATTTGGCAAAGGATCAGAACTTGTAATAACCACATTTGCAGGTGGCCCTTTTTCCACGGGTTGGTTATTTAAAGCCTTATTAAACTGTGGAGGCATGACTGGAGCCGATTGTGGTAGGTTTGTTGCAGGTAATGTCGTTTGTGGGGTTGTGGGTGTTGGCGGTAATAATTGTGGCAACGACAATGATGTAGGAAGTGGTAATGGCTGTGCGTTATGTGTTGCCTGATTTAATAAACTATATAAACTGCTATTACGGGTATCTTGATTTGGTTGTGATAACATTGACGGATTTGGTGGCATATTAAAATTTAAATTAGTTGCCGGATCCATGAATGGCATAGGCAAAGTACTACGTTGACCTATAAATAAAAAGTATTATAATTAATATAAAAAACACGCAACTATAAAAATAATAATATAGCAATTAAATTGTAAAATAAAAATTAAAACAATAAAATAAATAAATAAAAATTATCTATTCTAATTTATAAATAAATTATAAAAAAAATAAATAATACAAATAAAACGAAATTGATGAATAAAAAAGAATAATAAAAAAATAATAATAATAAAATATTAAAAAAACAAATAATAAAAAAAAATAATAATAAAAAAATAATATAAAAAAAAATAAAAAAAAAAATAAAAAAATAAATAAAAAAAAATAAAAAAAAAATAAAAAAAAAAAATAAAAAAAAAATAATGAAAAAAAATAATAAAAAAAGTAATAAAAAACAAATAAAAAAATGATAAAAAAAAATAATAAAAAAAATAATAAAAAAAACAAAAAAAAAATAATAAAAAAGAATAATAATAAACAAATAATAAAAATAAATAAAACAAAATAATAATTTATATTAAGTAAAAATATCAAGTAAAAATAAATCAAACTCACAAATTTATAAACTTGATATATATATATATAAAAAGAGAAGAAATTTATTTATTTGTCGAATTCAATACCCTGCTTCTTTTTTGTTAAACATTTTGATATTTTAATCTCAACATCGACAACTAAATGTTCCTATCTATGGACATAGTAATCCACCAAAATTTGAATATTTAGTTTTCAGTTAGCTAATATTTTACATTATTCGAATCACACTTTTTCTTTTGTCTTTTTGTTAAAAAAATAAAAAATATAAGATTAATTATTTTTACCTAATGCTCCACTTGCTGCTGCTGCTGCCGATACCTGTGGATTCATCATATAAGGTGACCCATAAAAATTAACTGGGAAATTTGGATTATATAGCGGTGTATTGTAAACAGCGGCCGCTGCAGCGGCAGCTGCGTTTTGAATTTGCATTGCATTTGGTGGATTGAGACGTTGGTGTTGCTGTTGAGCAAAAGGACTTGAGACATTTCCACTCATTGATAAATTACCTTGATATAAATTTGGTTGAGTCGTTAAAGATTGCTGTTGCTGTGTTGGTGTAAACAATTGATTTTGTATAGCTTCATCCAACAGATAAATATCATCCAAGACATTTGTAGCTTCATCACGAGAAGGAGAATTTGAATGTATATTTGATTTTTTCATAGTTTCTTCCATAGCACTAATTTTTTCTTTCATGTTTGCAACTTCACTGCGCATGGAAATCAACTCTGGTTTAATAGAATCAACAATTTCGTCTTTAAGAAATGTAAGTGTGCTGGCCATTTGCTTGATAAGACTATCAACTTCAGTGTCACGTTGTGAACGATTCAAAGCAGCGTTCATATTCAGTGAAAAATTGGTTAGCTCACCATGAGCATCTTCATAAGTACTTGAATTATTATGTTGCCCAATATTGGAAAATGAAACACTTTCATTCAGATACAAAGCCGAAACTTGTTGCAAACGTTTAATCTCACCATTGATAATAGCGTTCAATGGATGGTTTGGATTAATATTTGATTTTTTTAATAATTCTTCTGTCTGATTTAGGTAATCGGTGGCACTTTCTAAATATAAACGCTTTTGTTTTTTAGGAGTTTTACTAGATTCATCCAATTTTCGATATGCTTCAGCTTGGAAATAAGTGGCAAACGGCAGTTGTACTCCTTTAATTTCTTCAATGAATTCTTCGTATTCAGCTTTTTGAAAGTAACGTGTGGCTAAATATTTAACTGCTTCTTCAGCCGCCGAATTCAATGCCCGCTCAACTTCACTTGTATGCAAATTGGCATATTTGAAATATTTACGAAAAGGTTCCAAAACACATTTCTCATTCAATTTAAGCATTTCAAGACCATATTTATAAATTTGTTCAGCACGCACTTCAATTAGTCCTTTGTCAACTGGTTTACTTAAGTGTTCACATCGTGAAATAAGTATTTGACCAAGCTTGAAGAAAATAAGCATATCAACTTTTGGACCACTTACACCACGTACTGCTTCCAAACCAAATTGCAACGCAGAACGTAATTCTGTAGTCTTTTCATCACTTATATTTCTATAAAAAATATATGCAGCATTCCACCAATATGCCTGTTCGTCGGTACACAGTTTGCGATGTATATTTAAGAATGGTAAAATACGTGGTCTGCCATCATTGGAATTCTGTCCGTTACCATTATAATTATCGCATGAATCATATTCAACTTCTAGTAGTCTTTTCGCTTGTAAGGTAGTAGCATATAGGAAAGTGTCTACATCTAACTGGTTGAGTGATTCCGCACCACAGTATGTTAGGTTTTGTGTTGAAAATGGTAAACGATTAAAGAATTTGGCACGTACATCTCCTAAATTATCATTTCCAATGCAAAGGTACGCTGTATGCTGCAATGAATTTGGATTCAAAAACTGAGCTATTTCTTCATACGTTTCAATATCAGCGTAAGTTGGTAACTCATAAACTGGCTCAGAAAAATCTGCACTATTCATAAGCATGGAACTTTTCTCTTTAATGCGCTGATCACTATTGCAAAATAATAGGGCAAATATATTACGACGCCATTGCTTTTCTGCGCAAACTTGACGCACTTGTGAAATCAAATTGTTTGTATCCGTCCACAAAGAGGTGTTTTTCGTATTATCTTTTACAGCATCATCTGCTGTAACACAGGAATGCAGTGTACGACCCATCTGAAAATTATTTTAAAAAATGTTTAAAAATAGTATTTATTTAAAAATATAGTATTAGTACTATTTAAAAATACCTGAACATTACGAAAAGCACCTTCTCGATGCCATAATTGTAACAATTGTATGCTGTTTTCATCACAGTGTTTAGTCCACGGTTGCTTTGTATCTGGCAGTTTAATTTGTACTGCCAATAACATTAAAGGTAATACCATGCGTACTGATTCCTTCCATTTATTTTTATTTTGCAATAATTCCCGCTTAAATAGCAATGATGTTGCATAAAGCAGAAACTGGCCACGATAATGATTCATAAAGACATTAATTAAATCCGGTTTAGCTTTAAACTTTGCTGATAAAGTTGAGATTTTATATAGATTTTGATCAAAATTAAATAGCAAATTAGCAATTTCTGTATTGCCTGACGAATTATTAGCTATTTCCGTGCAAGTAAAACTTAAATATATCTGCCGCTCCAGACATATAGTCAACAACAACCAAAATTCCCAGTTTTTATCAGTATTAGGCATTTGCTCGTACTTCATTAACATCAACCAAATCGTGTCGTACCATTCAGTATTACCAACAAGAGAATCGTTGAAACCCATTTCAACATTATATGCATATTTAAACGCCTCTTGTATATTATTCTGATCTAAGTAAAAACGTACAAGTCTAATACGAAGACCAATGTCTTTAGATTGAGCAGAGATTTCTTTAAGTATTATTATCTCAGCTTGACTATCATCTGCTTCATTTTCGCTTTTGATTAATTTCAAACGTAATGAAAATACAGCATCATGATGAACCTTTTGCGATTCCGCAAGTTCACACCAATGACGCGCCTTACTGGCATTGTATATATCATCCTGGATTAGCAAACTGCAAATAGCAATTAATAAATCATTCTGCTTAGGGTTCAGTTGGAGTGAACGCTGAAATGACTGCAAAGCCTTGTCTGGTTTCTTTAAATGTTGATAGCACTGACCAAGCAATTTGTATGCCTGGTCATTAGTTTCATTTACACTAAGATACAAATTTAAAAACTGTTCAGCCGTTAAGAACTCGTTTATTTTGTAATATTGTTTAGCAATTATATAACCACGCAAATTACGCTAAAAGAAAAAACAAAAAAAAAGTTAAATATATAAAAACAATTCTAACAATTATAAAGAAAATATATGCAATTTTTTAAATCATTGATATCTCTTCATGCAATATAAGTAAATTAAGACTATGATCAATTGTTTTTTAATTAATGAAACTTGTTAAGAAAAATAGTTATATACCTGTACTACATTATGGTCTCGAAAAAAAAAATAAACAAAAATTAATTTGTAAAGGAAGTATACAAGGAAAGAAATGAGTATAGACTCACAAGGTATCAGAAGAATTGCTGCCTAAATAAATCTCATACACTTAGTTAAGAAAGAGATGGCTTGCGGAAAGTAGAGCTTTTCTACTATAATATATTGTGTCCTTTAAACTTGTCGATCAGCTACAAAAAACAACGTCCGTTCATTTAAAAAAAAATGTCTAAAGATATACCCTGAAACTGATTATACACAGAATATAATAAAACTAATTTAAGTTAAGTTTAACATTAACCAATTAAAAATATGTAAAAAAAAGTATCTTACTGTTTAATTTGAAAAGTACTTTAATACGGGTTTATCTTATATTGATTTCAATTGTTAGTTCAAAAAATTGTGTTTTAAATGCTTACAAGGTTTTCATGAAATGAGACGAAGTCACACAATAAGTGACCTTAAAATGGTACCTGTACTACAATAATTGAACACGTATGAGAAGTCAGAGAAAAAGCATTTAGAACGACTATTTAATAAATCAGTGATAAATGAAAGATTACTTAAATGGATTTTAGTTCTTTTTATACATTGTGAAAAATAGGATTCTTTCAGCCCCTTTAAATATTCATTTTTTGGAGGGATTATTGATATTTTTCCATTATCAGAAATCTATAAAAATCCGATGAAGACAAAATTGATGAGTAACGTAAATGTAGTATTATAGTGAACTGTATCAATACTTCGGTTACAATTAAACATTGACGCCAAAACCACTATTAGATTTATCCATAATAATTGCAAAATATATATGCTTAGAAGTGGAATTTTCATCTGCTGTTAGTAAACTCGGTACCCATGTTGCTAAAAACATTTGCATAAACAATGTTCTTGCACTTGAATTTCAAGTCAAGCCTGAATCTCAAAACGCTATTATTACATTACGGATTTTAGCCACCATATCCAGAATTGTTAGCTTATTTAAGCGTCTTTGTCGGTCAACTCTTCAGCATCCTCAGTTCTCATACAAAATAATGGAACTCGGTGTACCACTACTGAATCATTCCAAATGATGAATTTATTACTAAATAAACAACCTAAAGTTAACAAAAAAAATATAACTTTTTTTTGAACTGCGTTTATTAGAAAATGCAAGAATATTATATACATCCAAACATATTATAAAGAAGAATCCTTTTAAGAATAAAGCTTTTAGTATCATCTTTCATTTAGAATTGTTAATACAAAGCCAAGTAGTCAACACCAACTACAGATTAAAACCAAACAAGCCTTGGTATTATTACTCTAAGGCAAATATAGAAGATTTTTTTTAAATCTTTCTTCCTTATCTATTTATTGTTTGACTATTTATTGTATCTTTTATTAACTAACCCAAAAAAAAATAAAGGTTTGAAATCGGAGTTATCTTCGAAAAAATTTTATTGCTGGAATTTCCTCTTTTAACTTTAACTACATGTAATCTTAAAAGTCATGAGAGTAATAAGAAAGAAAATAAAATGGGTAAAAAGAAAATATTGATGTTATTGTTTTAGTAACCTGGTGAAAGCTATCGAGCAGATAACATAAAAGGAATTACAAATACTTATACATGAGGAGTTGAGATGTAGGTAAGTGATAGTAGTTCGCGAATTGAGGAGATTGTTTAGAAGCGAGAGTGGATTATGAGTAGGTGAGATTTTAATTACAGTCAACCCGGGTAAAGGCGCAGTCAGTCAACCTGTATGCAGTTCTAATAGATAAAAATTTAAAAACCCTACTCAATTCAATTAATTCCAGGAACGACCGAGTACACTCATCTACAACAATCTGGTTCACCACAACTTTTATTAGAATTTCACCGATCCACAAAAAACAGAATAAAATCGGTTACAACAGCAATATGTATCCAATTCATCATTCAAACTACTCGAATGCAATAAATTGTTGGGTTAACAGCAAAATCAACAATAAAAAACTATAAATTACTAGAGATGTTGTTGTAAATAGTAGTTGGACCTGGTAATCATACAAGATGCCAGCCTACTCGTAATAAAGGTAGAGAAGTTTGAATTGTCTAGAGCAAGAAAGTAAAGTTGAACATATCTGTGATTCTCTATAGTACTAAAGTTGTCATTAATTTTTATTTATGACAGTCCCGTGACAGTTTATATAATTATATTATTTAATCACGTAAATGCACATTTGTTGCAAGTGCAACTCTGATATATTTCTTCTTATTTGGCACTACAGTCCAGTGAACCTTGGCCTCCTTGTATTAATAAGTATGGATTCGCGGCATAAGATTCTGAGTTTCATATACTATATATACTGAAACACACATATTGATGAAAAATTAGTTCCAATTGGAAAAAATATTGAACAACAATGTCAGCATATTTTTTGTATACATTTGCAATTATATTCAGTCATATATCAAATATTATAATTTCACTTTTGAAAAAAAAAAAATATTCCTCTCCAGAATAGATGAATACAGTCGTCCCTACTTGTTGTCCATATAATTATTTCTGCTTCGCATTTATATTTGTCATCTGCCGGTAATAATTAATAAAAGAAACAAAACAATTGCGAATTCAGAGACGCACGATTGCGGCGAAAATTCGAGGCAAACACAGCGAAACATAACCTAAAAACAATTGCGGCATATATTTATTATAATTCTAAAAATATTAGTTATATTATTCAAGTTCATAAAATCAAAATCTAAAATAATTTTTATTAAATTATTTCATTTCGAATTGCCTTAATAACATTACTTTTTACCAAGGTTAGAGAATTTATATGTGCAATACAAGAGCGCATACACAGGCAGACAGCCACATTATTCAGAAGAATTTGAGGCGCCGTTTTGCTGTATTTGCAAAATATTTATATTTACAACAAATGCATCATGTTGCAACTACGTTGCTATAAATTATTTCGATTATATAAGTATTAATAATATTTCATACTAACACACACAAATAACATTAATATATTTGAATATGTATAATCCTTACCTCCTTTTCGGTACGAATTTGAGACAATGCTTTTCGCACATATACATCGACTTCCTTTTTGGTTTTATACATCTTAATCGCGTTATCTTGCGTACCCAATTAATTTTTGGTTTTTATAACTTTTTCAATTTTATTAAACATGTAAATCATAAAATATATTGTTTGCAATATTTTACTGTATTAATACAAATATTTTTTCACTTAAAACTTCCACACTTTTCACAAACAATCTTGACGAGCGAGTACGACTTCTCAGTTATTTTTCGGCGGCATGAGCAGCTTTATTTCGCAATTGACTTTTCTTTCTATCTCGGATACTATTTTTGGCTATGTTCAATTTAAAAATCATAGATTACTTATATAGAACATGTATCCAAATTAAATATATTGTTCTTTGATATTATTATATGATGAATAAAAATATGATTACTTAATATATAATATAAAATTGGATTCAATTGTTATACTTAGCCGTGAGTTTTCAAATTTATTTATTTATTTATTAACATCTTATAAAATTTTGACAGTGGAAACACCTAATTTTTATCTAATTTATCCTACTCGAAATTCTGATAAATAAAAACATTCGCTGCCATCAATTTACTCGAACTCGCACACGACCTTAATTATATTTCATTACTAATAAAAGTTTCTTTAACCAAAATATTAATTTAATCGAAGCAAGGTTTCAATTTTCAAAACAAAATCTATTTAAAAACGGAGTTTACTAAATACAACTATTTTAAATAACTACTTCCACTACGCGATATGTCAATATACCTTAATTTTCAAGACATCAGATTTTCAAATTGAAAAAAATAAAAAACTTAATGAAGTTATATATAGTAAGTATATATAGTAAGTTTAAGTTTCAATGTACTGAAATTAATACAAATCCTTTATCACGTCATCGAATCATGTTCTATATTTTACGATTTTATTAGTTTTTAATTTTGATAATGGCACTATAATTACCCGATAGGCGAATATTAAAATTATTTTTAAAAAGCTTTTAAATTTAAGTTTACAAATTAAGCAAATTACTAAAAATTTTACATCTTTATATTATATATATATATATATATATATATATATATATATATAATTTATTTAGAAAGAACAGCTGTGATAAAATGACGTACTACATTACGGAAACAATACTGCCTTTCAAAATCTATTAAGGCTGATGGTTTTACCCTGGGGTAAATCACTGCTTAATTAACCGTAGATGTTTCTTAACAACTGGTTAAGAATGACTGACTGGTTTATAGTATGTTATAGTATAGGTCTTGTTTTTAACAATTTATCTTAAACAACATTCAGCTTAACAACATTTAACATATTATATATTTATTTATATATATTTATTTATATATATTTATTTATTTCAATTAAGCTTTACTTTCTTAAACATTTTTCAATATAACTAAATGTTGAGTTTTTAATTATATATTATTTTAACAAAATTCGGTATTTTCGTAAAATTTTAAAAAATTTTAATAAATTGCAAAATGAAAATAAAAATATCGATTTCGTTCAGTTAACGAAATCTCTAATTATTAAATCAAATAATATATTCTCCGGTTAAATGCTCTTTAAATCAGTTTAAAAGTTAATTGATGCTGAAATTAATGATGAGCGACCTTATATATAAAATTGTATCCGATTGGTATGCATATAAAAATAACTGGTATAATGAAAAATTGGTATAAAAATGTGCAACCCTGCTCGACTTAACAGTTGAAGAAAAAGAAATGTTCGTCAATTGCAAACATGACGAAATAATATAAAATAGTAAAGCGTAATTTTATTATCTTGTGTTGAGCATTAAAGTTTATCAGTTCAAATAAATTTTGAAAAATTTTTTTTTGATCATATTCAGTTTCTTTTGACATATAGTTCAATTATATTGAAATGAGAAATAGCAAATATCAAATTTAATATTTTTCTAATTTTTGATAGAGCATAAATATCTTATCCTTCTGCAACTAAATGCTTTTCATATAACATATCAAATTGCAAAATTATGTTGTTATAATGGATTGAATTTAATTGTTATTAAATGCTTTATATTTTATTATTAATATTATATACATATAAATAAACTTTATTTAGTTCAATTTTAAAATATGTTTGTTGTACAATGTTTGGAAATTACATTTTTTTATGTAGCTGAAATTAGCATATGTATTATTCTAACATATTTCACAATATTGCTTATAAGTTATTTCATGAATATGTGAAAATTTTGTCTATTTCTTTAGTTTTTGCGGCTTTCGCTATACACCACTAGGTGAAATGTCATGTTTGACAGACATTTATAAATACAAGTAACTTAGCTTGCCTTTGTATTACTTCCTTTTCCGTGTTAGCTGTGAAAGAAGAAACATGCCGGTTTGTGTCAAAATTATAAAAAAATTACTTATTTGACAAAAAAATTGCAAATTTTGTTTAAAATTGAATACTAACAGTAACTGTGGTGCATAAACTTTAAGCCAAATTAATTTTTCCGAGATTTGAAAAGTGGAATTGAAAGAATTTGAAGAAAAAAAAAATTGTATTTGTGTCTACTTTTCACATGGTGAATGAGTGCAACAACAACATCTATCAAACTACTACAAAATTTGTGCAATCTATGAATATTAGCAGAGCAGTTTTACTTATTTAAAACTATATTAAAATAGTTTGTGAAACAAAAGTCGTACGCTTTTAAGACAATAAAATATAATTTTGTTAGTAAATAGTTGAATTTCGTAAAAAAAATATATATTTGCAATTTTCTGTCATTGAAATGTGGGTGCTTCGGGCACTTAATCAATTATACTTTGTATATATAAAAACAGTGTTAATTCTTTTGGTTTTTTTTTACTTTTTTTTGCAGCTAGCAAAAGATTTATTACACCCTTTACCCTCTGAGGAGAAACGTAAGCACAAGCTAAAACGCTTGGTGCAACATCCCAACTCTTACTTTATGGACGTGAAATGCCCTGGATGCTATAGAATTACGACAGTATTCAGTCACGCCCAAGGTGTAGTTATTTGCGCAGGTTGCTCCACAGTGTTATGTCAACCAACTGGAGGACGTGCGAAATTGACAGAAGGTATACAATTTATTTGCCTATATATTTAATTGTGTCCACACTAATATTTTGGTATTCTTATAGGATGCTCTTTCCGCAGAAAGCCTCAATAAATGAAACATCTACGCTGTTAAATACTAAAAAATTTTTTTAGCTACAAAATAAAATCGACTTAAATCCTTTAGCCACTGAAAGTTCTATGAAACATTTTGATTGCTGGACTTAAAATCAACTTAACATTCTGTATATAAATGTTGTGGAGCTGGAATAATATCCAAATAATTTATAATTGTTAAATAATTATGATTTAAATTTACAAGAAAGCTATGCGTAAAGCAAATTTGATTTTATTTTATAGATCTTTTGGATGTTATGTAGGAACAGTATAATAAAGGTATAAAGCTTTAAGTCATCAAATACACTACAATTTTTAATTAATTTTAAAATTTTATAATATAGCACCAAGAACTAGTTGAAATAATAAGTGAGATGCTATTTTGCAGAAGCCTTTATTAATCTGCGTTGATACATTTTCTATTGAATGAAAATGAAAAATATTTTAAGCAAATCAGCTATCGAAGATTGAAAAAAGTGTTTAGTATTGCGTGAACGCAGAAGTTCATCATTGTTTTATTAGTTTTCGTACAGACAGACTTTATGATAGGCAATTTCTGCACTGTTCAGTTGTAATTGTGATACGAGTCGTGGTATTGTTTTCTGAAAATACTAATAAGTGTTGAAAGCAGACTATTCGTTGAATATGAGGGACTACTTGTTAAAGTTGTTGTTGTTGTAATCCGTTAGAACCTGGAAGCATATAACATGTAAATTGGATGAAGTCGAGTATTACTGCTTATGAGGCTATATCTATGACTTAACTTCAACACTAGCTCGACGTTGGCAAGATATTTATATTGAATGCAAATACGTATTATGAATATTCAAATTTGGTCTGCAAACAAAAATGTAAGAGTGTAAATAAAAATTTTACCAAACTCTAACAAAAGTAGACTTAGTGTAACAATCGCTAGATTTCATTAAGAATTTTAAAAGGAATTTGGTTATAAATGATAAGGGATTATTTGTTTAGGTTTTATAGGTTATTTTTTATTTTTATAGGTGTTTAGGTTTTATAGGTTTATAGGTTTAGGTAATTCATTATTTTTCTGTACCAATAAGAACGATTATTTTGATACTTATTCCTAACACAAATAACTTTATTCCTATTCATTTAATAGCTAATTAATCAATATATTTCATAGAATTTTTGTATCATATACTCTAAAGATAATAATAATGGTAAAAGCAATATATTAAAAGTTGATCACTAAAGATGTTTTCTACTCAGGTAACTAAAAATACATACATGCGTAATGTTTGTAAACGCATTGAACTCCAATAGAAAGTGATGAATGGTAAATAGAGATCATTGATAAGTGATTTAAAGCATTAAATGGAAGTATTGATGGATTTTGTTAAACTAAGAATAGTTGGATTTAGTAATCAGTGAGATTTTCTAATAGGTATCATTTTATAATTTAAATTTCACTGATAAATCTATAGGTTCATAGGAAGCACTGGCCGCTATAAGTCACCAAACGATTCGCTACAAATATATTTTCTAGCTAAGATTTTCACTATTTGAATTTTGGATTAAACATTTATGTACAAAAACCTTAAATTAAAAATAATTAAGATGCATTTAAAATGATATATTTTTGAAAATTTATAAATCATATTTTAACATTCGAATATGTCTATAGAGCAGTTTATTTACAATGATTTTTGAAATATATGCATATTTTTTAAAAGTTTTACTTAGTATACAGTTTTGTTGGTGTTTCATGAAATCTATATTAAGTGTTATTTTGAAAGTATTTTAAACTTAATGAATGAATAAAAAACTGGAACAGAATATTTTAATTTAGTCTTAATATTGTTTGTTGTATGCCATGTGTAATAATTAACTATTTGTAATGAATTTCAAAATTTTCTAATATATGGTATAAACTTATATTTAATTTTTGTGTTCTTGCATGAAAACGTCTTTTCTGACGTCCCCTAATAATATAATATTGCCAATATATAAAAACTAGAATAAATAAAAATGTTAAATCTCTCATAGATAATAGAGTACTATTGAACATGATGACCATTCATTCGTTTCATTCAATGAACGTGAGTCCCTATATTAGGATTGCTGGCGCTAATGACCTTATTGCTTGTGAAAACTTTTAAACACTGCAGGAAATGAGCGACTGCCAAATTATGGCTCATTCAATGTTAAAGATACTAAACCGCTTTTTAAATAAAAATATCAATAAAAATTAAACAAATCAATTACATCTCGCCCTATTTTAAATTCTTGGTACGATTCATATGCTAAAGTTTTTGATATGGACGTCTACCACCGATTTACTGGAAAATTTACAATAATTTGATTAATTCTCGAATTATGAATATTGAAGTACGCTACTCATCGCAATTGCAAAAAATAATTAATGATAGTATATTGAAAAGGAGATCGCGCTGTAATCTAGAATTGTAACACAAAATAGTGCTGCCAACTCGGCAAAAAAGTCTTGCAGTACGGACAGCATTATGAATGTTCAATAATACATTGTGTGTCAGTATTATGTATGTTCAGTGTAATATTTTTATAGGAGTTCAAACACACACAAATCAGCTGATGTTTTGTCGAATACTAAAGATATTATCAGACCCTAAAGCATGATATAGACGATGCCACATGTATGCAAACCAAGTATACCGTGCTACTAAATCGTATATATTATACTGTGTATATTCACGCATACATACCAAATTTCGGTCTGCAGACATGTATGCGTTAAAATTACACTTTGTTTCAAAATGTATAGCAAAGCGCATATTTGGTGTACATATATGTAGTATCGTTTATATTATGCTTAAGGTTTGGTAATTCGTTAACTACGTAACCTTAAAATAAAATTTTATCAGATTTCTTCAAAATTTTTACAATGATTTGCAAAAATTTCAAAGATTTCATAAATTCAGGTGGCTCAGAATAACATTACTATTTTGCTATGCTTATGTCATGATAAACAAAAATATTTCTTAGTACTCTTTCAATATCTTTTCAATTTCTTTAAATGTAGAACTTTAAAGTTTCTGAATTTATTTACCTTCCACAAAATTGGAGTTTTTAGTTTACAGTTTATAGTAGGTCTGTTCCACGAGCTACACGTAGTAACTTTGAATAACACTGGGTAAACTCAAGTATGTTCCACCAGAAAATTTTCAAGAAATTGAGAGCACCTGAGAGAGCGTATTATATTATATATGTTATATTTTTAACTTCAGACATATGGTTCATATTTTATCAGCATTTTGTCATGATACTTACAAAAATCCAATTAGAAAACAAAAGAAACAATCAAAAGTATCGAAAAATTAAAAATATTTTTTTTTTCATCAGACTATGCATGACATGGTTACAAATTTTGCTAAGATTTGGATGAAATTTCACAGGTTCGCGCATGAAATCGACAATTAAATACAATGTGTAATAATATCTTAAAATGTAATAGCTCATACGATTTTTATTTTTGCCATATTTTTATAGTTATATTATCCCCTTATGATCATTTATCGTTGACATTTGTTGAGGGTTTGAATATATGTAAAAAAAATTGGGCATTATTACAACATATGATTTCAAAAAATGTTCGTAAACATAGCATTTGTTAACAAATGTACATAAACAATGTGTTATAATTAACATTAAATAAATTTACATCAAATATTATTTATCATTTTATATTAATAATCAATTAATATTTTTGACCTATATTTCAATAAAATTTGATTTAATTAATTTTTAATATTATTATTTTAAAAATTGAATAGAAATTTTATTCAATTTAAAAAAAATTAAAATATTTTATATATTTTGTTGCAAAAATAATTAAGAATGTTTTATGTTTTGTTGTAAAAATTAAATAACAAATATTTTATGTTTTATCAGTTAAATTAATAGTAAAAGTTAAAAAACAACTGTTTCCTTTAATTTCAATTATTTAAAATATTATAAAATGAATTTTTGTGGTTGTAGTTCACTACTGTTCGAAAAAACTTAATTTAATTTTAATAAACAATGTTTTTAAATATATTGCTAAGTCTGATTTTTAAAAAATATATAATTTAATGTGTTCCCTTAATTACATTTAAATAAAAAATTACTTACTATATAAGTACACAATATAGAAACACAATCTAACAAGTAATAAAGCCTTTTTTAATACAATAGTATATACTAAATATTTATTATTATATATATTATTTACTGAAAATATATTAAAGTTTTAAATTAATTAAATTTTTCAATAACAACGTGTTTTCATTTATTGATGTTTTGTAGTTTATCTTATATTCGAATTAATAATAACTAATTCTTACAAGTCATAAATGATGCGTTCGGTAGAATATGAAAATATAATTAAACGAATTTGAAACTGTCAATGTTATTTGCTCTTCTTACCCCTATTCTTTGGGGCTGCATTTGTCATATGTTCTTTGTTTTGCAATTTAAAAATACTTGGCATTTGTAACCGTCGTTAAAAAGAAGCGGAGACCGACTCATTCGTTGGCGGGAATCAGTTGCCGACGGTTATTAATTTGTTGGATTGAAAATAATAATTAACGGCGCAAAGAATTTAATATAATAAAATACAATTAATAATTATAATTATAGAATTATAATTGATATTTGATATAATATCTCAATTATGTTGGCAACCAAAATCAACCACAATAGCTCCTCAAATGATATATATAAAATATATAATTTAATACATGAATACGATAAATTACTAAAAAAAGATGCCTTAAGTATTGTTTCGGTTGGTTCGGAAAACGGTTGCGGTGAGGTAATTATTGATGAAAAAAGTATATCCAAAACACGTTCGAACGCTGATCGAGAATTATGTTTGATTAATGCAATAAAATATAATATAAAAAAGAATGGATGGTGTTGCAATAAAGATCTAGATGGCCCAAAACCTGCATTCACCATACACTTTGCTAACAAACCAGAAACAATTATGTTCAAGACGCCAATAATATGTACTGCAAAAGTTACGAAAAATATGTTTTCCATATGGAACAGGAATAGGATAACAGCTCCGCGTAGTCACTTATTTAGAAGCAAAAGACACCACGACGTGGTTAGCGATGATGTAGACATCAATTTAGCGCTGCTTGAAGATGGGTTCGTAAAATATTTTATTGTAATATTTTAATATTATATATGCATATTAATATATATTATATATTTAAAATATATCAATTTTTTTAAAAAAATTTTTTATATTGAATTTTATTATACAATATAATATATATTTTCCGATTGCAGTAATTTTGAAAACAGTATCGTGTGGTTTCTTTTCAAACTTTTAAACGACTTGTCTTTGCTTTTGGAAGATAAATTTGGAACCGATCAGTGTTTTGCGTATGACAAATATGATAGATCTTATATGAATCAGAAATCATTTGCTCTACCATCCAGCTTGAGATTAAATGTACAGGTAAAGAGTGTCTATGCTAAATGTAAGACATTCCTTGGGGAAATGTATATGATAGCAAGTAAGAACAAGGTATTTGATAAATTATTGTATAGTGAATGTGAACAGAGTTTAAATCAGTTAAAAGTTAAAATTGCATTTCTTGGGCCTTTTCAAAATTGGAATGCTGCCTACGCTAATGAAATCGAAGAAAAATACATGGGTATGTATATTTATTATATTATAACAACATTCCAAAATAATATTTTATTTTATTTTATTTTATAATTATTATATATACAGAAGGTGCACAACATTTAGCACAAATATTACAACAATTATGCGATTTAGTCGCAAACCTGAATTATAAGATACACATTTTTGATTGGGCTGTTAAAATAAAAAGAGAATTCCTTTCCGACAATAATAACATAACAGATTATTCAAATTACAATACACTAAATTACATAAAACGTCATGTCATATCAATTAATGCGCTTACTCAATGTGGTAATGTTCAAGATTACGATTTTGCTACAAACTTAGCAGGCTTGCAGATGCGCACGGTTATAGGTGCAGCTACAGAAGAAGATTTTATAACATCATATGTTGCAATTAATAAAAAAGAAGTACAGCGTAACCAAAAAAATTTCGCAATCAACGTTCCAAATAGTGCGCAGAATTCAACAAACTACTTTGATGCATCTCATATAGTGCATGAAAACATATCTAGATTACAAAATAAGAATAAAGACGTTGAATTACAAACACATCGGGCACTAAGTTGTGCTTATTTGCAAAATACGTTGTTTGACAATGCCGAAAATTTAAATAATTTTAAACAAAATACAACTTTTGCCGGCCCTCAAGCTAACGAAAAAGTTGTTCCACGATATGTTGCTAATATGCCACTTGTTGTGTGCGATACTTCAAGCAACAATTCATTAGATATGTGGCAGCAAACATCAAATCGTAGTCAATCAGCAGGTGAAATTGTGCAGTTTGAAACGAATCAATATGATGAAATTGCTAAGGTTTGGAATTCACAAGGAGTACTTTCAACAAAAAGTCAAACTCTAATACAACCTAATAAAAACCGTTCATTTTCGCAACAACGTTCGATGCCACTACATGTAAGTGCTACAAGTCGTGCAAATTTAATTGCTTTAAATGACGAGTTAGATTTGGTTAAGAAAAGTTCTGGACGGGGTTGTGTTCATAATAACGACTTTAAAACTATTCAACAAGTTAATACGCCGTTGTCTATAAGTAATAATAGTAGACAGTATTTAACTGATTTATGTCAAGAGATGAATAACATTGATGTACCAATATCACAAGAACCATTGCCTAGGTGGCGTCAAAATTTACGTTGTACAAGTAACTACAATGAAGCTGCTGCGCAGTTTGTTTCAAAAAATCAACAGATTGGTGATGTTAATAAAAATCTAGAAATGACATCAAAACAAATTGATGGTGCAATTACGTTTGAAAGAAGACTACATAAACCAACAGGCAATAATGAAATGAATAAGATAGCAACGAAGTTTTTGAGTAATAACGAAGCACATGACGTAGCAATAGGTTATAGTAAAAATGCTAATGAAATAAAACAATATTTACTGTTTGCTAAACCAGACAATGCAGTATGTCAACTTTCACAAATACAGAATGAAAATCAAGTTAAAGCAGAATGCTTTGGTAACCAAATGCTTCAAGATGTGCGTGCAAATTGGAATAACATTGGAAGAGAAAACACTGACAGTACGCCTTTTGGTAGATCTCATTCTAGTGAAAACCATTTTGATGATTTTAAAAATATGTGCAACAACAACAATGTAATGCATAAAGTAAATGCTGATCGTTCAAATTTATTGCACACGCAAAATACAAATATTTGCAATGTTGCTAACATTTGGTCTGATAACAAAGCAACAGAACAAGGAGTCTCATTAGCTAACAACAATCAACAATTGCATGTGACTCAGCAGCCTTTAGCTGCTTCAGCACCAAATGCAAATGCGCAAAGTATTATAAACACAACTGAAGCAGGATATCAATCGGGTATGTACCCACATAATTCATTGCGTTACATGCGCTATTAACAGCGTTTGTACATACATATTTATTTTTGTTTTTTTTTATTGAAATTTTGTTGGATGCATGTTTGATTGTGCATAGAAAATTATTTTTAATTTACAGTTATAAGTTTTTCAATGTTTGGTTAAACCAAAGCGTATTTAGGAATTTTTTTTAAATTTGCTTTTATATCAATTTATATAAAAGCATAAAAATGTAATTATTTATAAAATGATCTTTTTGTTAAATGTGCAAATGCAATGTTCTAATTTATACATTTAAATGCAATTTTTAAATTCGATAAACAGAAATTCAGATTCAGATTCCGTCAAATAAGCGAAAAAGGCCTAATTTTTATTTTATTTTGAAGAAAAAGTGCACGAATTGTGATTATACACTCATACACATACACATACAATAGACAATGTTTATAATATGCAACGTTAAAACACAAACATATTTAAAATGGTAGACATTATGGCGCCATAACATAAAGCCATAAACATAAAGTAAAGAAACATAAGAAATAAAGTGAAGTGAAGGCGCTAAAAAGCGAAACAGTTGGAAATGAGAGACAATGTGGCGCCAAAACAAACAAGCGATTTGTTAAACGTTGTAACGCTTAGAAAATAGTTGTTATAATCTAAACAAAAGAACACAAACATGAAGTTTAGAAAAATTATAGAAACGGAATAACAGAAAGCTTGATGTCGAATGTAGTGAATATCAGACGTAGGAGTTGAAAGCGTACAAATAGAAAAAATGAATTATTTAACAGAGTTTTGCCAAATTTATGCTTTTCACTTTTTTTTTATTATAAATTTATAAATTGTTGCTTAACGGAATTTTATTATATTTACGTTTATTGTATGTTGTATTGCGTGTTGGTTTGTTTTTTTATTTGTTTGTTTATTAATATAATTAACATAAAATTTATAAAATTTTAAATATTTATTTTGATATTTTAAAATATTTTTTTATTTTGAAAACTTTACACTCTTGTTTAATTCTTAAAAGTATTAGAAACAAAGAATGAACCATTATTTTTTTATTAATTTAAGGAAATTTAATAGTTTTTTTGTTTGTTCTATATTTGTTGATTTGTGCCAAATAGATTTGAAACTTAAAGAATGAATAACACTTTTTAAATCCTGATAATTTTTTTTCATACAGAATTATTGATGACTAAGAGAGTCTGTAATTTAACAAATTCTCTATTTTTTAACAAAATTAATTAATTTAAAACAGTAAAATAGTAAATTCCAAATTTTAACATCAATTTTTAAATAAACAAAATTATTTAATTTTATATATTTAGTAATAAATTTATATATATATATATATATATATATATATATATATATAATATTATTACATTAAAATTAAAAATATATATATAAATATATTTTGAAATTTATTACTAAATATATAAAATTAAATATTAAATATATATTACTAAATATATATATTACTAAATATATAAAATTAAATATTTAATTACTTAAGTGATATTTTTCACAGTTTCTTGTGTTTGAATACATTAAATTTTTTAATTAACTCTAGAAACCGATATAATTTTTAATCATAATAAATATACCATATAACATAATATATAATTACTTAACTTGGTTTTTTATAGGCTAATTGGTCAATAGTTAAATAATAAACTTTTAAAAAAATATAGTCACCTGATGATGACTACAGATTATAGTTGAAATATCGGTTAAAATAAAATCATTTTAAAACAAATATTTTATAAAAAGTTTATTATTCAACTATTGACCAATTAGCCCGTAAAAAACAAAAACAATAAATTATAATTACTAAAGTAATAATATTTTTTTTCATATATGTTTTTTTTTTGTTTTAAAACAATAAATTTTTTTAATCAACTTTCTAATTTCCAAAATTTCTATTATATTATTTAAAAATAGAAACATAAAAAATAATAAAATTGTTTCTAGAAAGTTGATCATGTGTCTTACGTACAAAAAAAAAAAAATAAAATAAAAATGTTTGAAAATAATAAGTTTATTAAATATTGTGCTCGTCACATAACCATATGTATTAGTTTAAATAAATAAAATCATATAAAAAATAATTATACAATAATTTGTGCGATACTCAACTTCAATAGATTTGTTAAATCTATTCAAATCGATTTAGAAAAAGAATCTAAATAAAATAATTTAAAGAAAAAAATCTATTTTAAAGAATATGAAATCTAAAATAAAAATATTTGAAATAAAATAAAAATGAAGTTATATTAAAATTTTCATTAACTACAGATTTTAAAATGATCAATTATCGATATACTTTTATTAAAAGGATTAACTCATTTTTAAAAATAAAACGCTAAAAATTTGAAAATTAAATATAAATTCTAAAAGAATTAAATAAAACTAACGAGTTAAATTGTGATATATATGAATTTAAAATAATATAAAAAAGAATGATATATAAATAATTAATTTTATTGGTATTAAACAAATTAAAAAAAAAGAATATGTGAATATATATAAATATGAAAACTTGAAAAAAACAATATATAGTACATCTAAAAATTAAATTATATAAAATTGGCAAGAATTGTTTAAGTATTTCGATTAAAAAAATTAATATGAAATCAAATTTTTTTTATAAAAATTGAAACAATAACATTCAAAATATAAATAAAATAACTAATAAAAATTAAAATAAATATTTACAATATAGTGTTACAAATACTAATTTGGAAATATTTTAAAAAACTTGTTAACATATTTGATTTATATGTAGTAAATAAACTTTAATTGTAAAGTTTTAAATTAAAAAAATTAAAAAAATATGTATGTTATGTTGTAATTTTTACATATTTGTATAATTGCATAAAATTAAAAACATTTGGAAGAAATAAGATTTGCGAAATACCTTTTAAAAAGAATGAAATATATATGGTAAATAATACATATTTTATTTTAAAATGATTTTAAAGACACAATTAGTTTTTAAATTTGATTAATTAAGTTTAATAGTTTATAGCGAAATATTTTCGAGTGTTATTATTAGGATTTTTTTATTTTAATTGTTTGTTTCGTTTTGCGATAAAAATATTATCTTAAGTTTTGATTCGTGAAACTTTTTTTTATTTGTTTTGTATTTTAGTTTAAAATTTGGATGGACCGCTATTTTTTTAGCTAGAGTTTTAAGAATTCCATAACCCTATAACTTGAAATTATTCTCAAAAAATTAGTTTTACAATGTACATTCTTTTGCAAGATCAGAGTTAGTAATTGTCGACTACAAAATAATATCATGTTGGAGTATAATAACAATAACAACCTCTTTGGTTAGTATTGGCAATTAAATGGCAATTCTAAACTTTAATATTATCATTTTAATTGAGAGAATATTAGAATATTAAATAATATATTAAAATAAATCATTTTAAATTTAAACAAAAACTTAATACAAGAATAAAAAACTTATGAAGCTTTAATCGCTCAATTATAAAAAAAAAATAAAATAAAAAATAAATAAATTATATAAACTATAAATATTAGTTATATTTTTATAATTAATAAAAAATTATAAAAATATAGAAAAGTAATAAAATTTATAATTATATATTTAATAATTATTTTTTTTTGTTACTAATAATAGTAATGCATAATTTAAACTCCAAAATAAACATAAAATAAATTTAACTTAAAGGTCGAAATTCATTTAAAAAATTAATTAAATAATTAAAAATTCAATTTAACAATTAGTATTTAAAAGAATATACAATTTGAAACAAAGAAGTAATTGTAAAGAAACTTGAAATTTGAAATATTTACAAATAAATATGATAAAAAAAATATTTTATGTATTTTAATAAAATTAAATACTAATAAATTGTTTTATTAGTATATTAATATTGGTGTTTTGTTTACACACAAAAATGTAAAAATATACGACAGCTTGAAAATGTCCCAAGAAGGGAGTCTTATTTGTTCGTTTTTTTTTCAAACAAATGAAATATTTGTAAATTAAATAAAGTGTTTTGAAATTGTAAAAGAAAATATATAAACATTGATTGTAAATAAATAGAAATTTGCGAATTGTAAAATTAACAACACATATTTATATATAAATACAGATTAAAAAGTTCTCAAATTGTTAAAAAACCCATTGTAATCAATTTTATTTTTAGCTGATTTTAACAAATTTATAATAATTATATTTACAAACATATAACAAATAGTGTGAATTTTAAAAACAATCGCAATAAATCATTACATCGCCAAACTGAGTTAAATAATTTTATATCTGAGAGTCTGTTATGTTAGCAGTAATCAGATACTAACAAATAGATAATTATAAAACAATTTCGTTAAATTTCTAAAATAAAAACACAAAATATTCATGTATTGTATTTTAAATATATTTTTTATATGTTTATAAACAAATAAAGAACATTAAAAAACGTATGTTAATTTTTTTTTCACAGTTTATAAAAAATATAATAACAATAATTTAATTAATATATATACAATGCAATTATCAACATACAATTATTGTATTTTTTGTATAATATATTTGGTGTTAGTGTTTAAGCAAAATATTCTTCATAGGGGTATTTTGCAAAAACATTATTTATTATAAGTTTAATAATTAAACCCAATGCTTTGGATATTTCTGGTTTTAGTTCATTAAAAATTTCACTCCAATTTTCATTCAATAAAGTATGCATCGTATCGCTTAGTTGCTTATCATTGTTGAAGAGACCACTTAAACTGAATGATACATGTTTTGGACTCAATTCTAATTTTATGCTCTCAACTTCAGCATAAGTCTTCCCAGACTTTTGTACAGGTTTCAATTTGATTTTAGCTGCAATATGAGTATTGTCTGTGAAAAGAAAATAATTATATTATATTATATTATTTAATATGCCAAACGAACTTCGGCAACAGGTTTATAAGTTAATGAAGAATATATCGTGAATCCTTTAAAATATAAACATTTTTGGGATTGGCCTTTAAGGATGCTCATTTAAATGGAAGA